GCGCACTGTGTCTTGAAGCTTCTGCCTTGCTTTCATCTTCCAGCGGAATGTCTCTTCATCCTGCAACAAAAAGCATTGCTTCCGATACGAAAAATAAAAAATGAGCCTAACGAGCCCCTCAATGTAACGCTGCAGTGTTTACTGAGCTATAACCCCACACGAGCGCAGCTGACACCAGATTGTAAGGGCAATAGAAATGTTGTAGGATGGCAACCACGCAAAAAACAAGAACCGAAAGGATGATGATATGCGCAGATTTGCGATAAAGCAAGCAGCATTACTATGCAGTGTAGAGCAAGAGGTCCTAACACGGTCTGGCTTGGCGCGTACCCTGTACTAAGGGAAGCATCACCAGTTAAAGCACAAGTGGGCAACCGATGGCCCGTGCAGGAGATCGGAACGTAATGCCTAACTAGACGAAGAGGTGCTGGAGAGGTAGGCGGCATACCGCCATTCCTCTGCACTCTCATGAAAATAAATGAGGCTAAAATACGCACGAGGCTAGCACAAGACAATCAGGAAAATACCTGACACTCTGTATCAGTGACATAAAAACAGATTTCAACAACCTTGTTTCAAAAGTTCAAGCCCTGAGCTCACATTAACCGGCTGTTGATTTTTTCTTACTGAATGAATGATCAGATGAAAACTTGTTTTTATGCATTTTTGCATTTTATGCAAATGCAAAAATGCATAATAGCGAAAGGCAGGTGCGCTGCTATCTGGGTTTTATTAGAAGATAGCCTGCAAACTGAAGTAAATCAGGCTCACGTACTGTCAAAGGATGCCCATGCTTGAATGAAGTGTAATTGAACATCGTGGTTATGAGAATAGTAAGTCAAAACGACCGAAATAAGGAGCATAAACATATAGATGAATGAGTGTAGAAGTGGGGAAGGCAAGGAAATTATAAAGTACCTGCAAATTTTCAATGTAATATTCCCAAATTTCTTGCTCAAATTCACTGAAAGCGATGAGGTGGTCTTGTTTACGCTGTGCTATAAGCGATCTGACATCCGATGGGTGCATGATCGGATGCGAAAACGTCACACCTGTAATTTAACCCAATGATAATATCTTTTGAAATAGGTGTCAAAAAATATCAGAAAATGGGAAATAAGCCCCAAACAAAACCTGTTTAGCAGTTTGCGCCTCAAACAGGCTGCACCGAGAAAGCCTAAACCTATGTAGACGGAGAACATCACCTAAAACCTCAGCTTTCTTGCTTTTCTTGAGTAAGCAGATTGCCGTCAAAACTTTTGCGGGCCCTTATGGGTAAATCACGTGAGTAAGGATGCCCATTTTGGGAATGGGACCCGTATGTGCATGTAGATTAAGTTCCCAAAATTTCGGCCTCGTAACTTTTGTAGGTCTAGAGATGAGAAATCGGCACAGACGAACACACAGACACACAGGCAACCTCTCGACAATGTGAGTTTTTGCATTGCATAGATGCAAACAACACATTAAAAAACTGCCGAAAAGGGGCCGCAAAGAAAAACACAAAAAACCTTTCTCTGTAAACTTATGAAATTCGATTTGCATTACCTCTGTGTTAAAAAAAAAAAAAAAAAAAAAAACGTCA